ATATATATATATATATATATATAAAACCATTATCTAATCTGGAGTGTTTTCTTACTGTATAAATCAAGAAACACAAAACATTTTAAAACACAAATAAAAGATGCACAAGCTAAAGAAACATTAAATTACTTTGTATTTTGGTGATACTAATTAATTTTCCCTTATTTGGAATTTTACTTCTTGAGATTTATGATTGGTAATACATTTGGTAATGTTATTAGAAGCACTTTATTCTGGAATTTGCTTTTAAGGCATGGTTATAACTAGTTATACAATAGTGCATCCCTGTTTAGATTGCTTTACTAAATAATCAACAAATACTGATTTCTTAATAGTAAGAACAGTTAAGTTTTCCATAAAATATAATATATATATAATAGTAGTCTACTGTATGCCCATGTATAACTACTTCACAGGGTATGGATTGATATTCACCAAAATTGGTATGGAGGTTCATTAGATCCATGCGGGGGCACATACAAATTTTCAGTTCTGCAATTTTTATGGGCATTTTTACGTTTTTTACCACTACTTCACTCCCTGTTGATGGATCTTCACCAAATATGGCATGAATGTTTGTTGGGTCTATGCAAATTTGTGGTTTACATTTTGTGTTTTTTTTGTGCAGTTAATATGTGCATTTTTGTGTTTTTTTACAATTACATATATGGGAAGTAATTTTTCATGTCCTAAGATATCCTTTCATTAATCATGAATTTACATAACTTCCATCCAGGGGAAGGGTACTCCAGCTGGTATTTAATATGCTTTGAAAACAGCATTAAACTCTTTTTTTAGATATAGATATTCAGCTGATAATATAGCATATTATTAATTATATCTTTAGTAATTTGTTTGTTAAATTTTTTGCATGTTTGACATAACTTCAAAATATGTTAGTGATTTATAATTATGTTTATACAACTTAATAAACCTTTTTTTTTTCATTTGTAGAAATCTCTGTTCTGCATTCTCATGTGCAGTATGGATTTAACTATTTTTTGGGTTACTAATGTGTAAAAACCTACTTTTGTTAATTTTAGATGATATATTAGCCTACTGTGAATAGTCTCAGTTTTGTTGTATCTTCTCACCTCCATATTATCTATATTTATAAACCACTCACTGTTTGTAATGCTCCCTTTGTTGGTAACATTCAAACTGGCTCAGTGGTTTGTCCCAAGAGGATGTCTCAAGTTCAAATCCCAATTGAGTGTGGACTTTTTTATAACTTTTTTTAAATTATTAACTCATTATGCTTAGAGCTAGATCTTACAATATTAGGAAAAACCAGAATAACACGATAGTTTAAATTATTGATTTGAATTATTTGTTAATGTTCAATTACAAAGACTGTCAAATTGGTTGTTCAAATGAGTATGAAAGGTTTTGAGCACTTCCTCTTCATAGGTTCATAAAATAAACATATCTTACCTATGTATGAGGTTGATGGAGATAGGCCATTCCAATAGAATTAATTTGCATTGAGACAGATGTACAGAAAGATCATGGTGTTTGTTAGAAGACATTCTTTACCATATGCTGTCATTGTTATAAGACAAACATTTTTTTAACATATGCTGTCATTTTTTTCCAGTATTTTACTTATGTTTACTTTCTCAAGGCAATTGATTTGTATTCTGTATTAATCATAATTCTATATATTTAATAACTTTAATACCAGATGTCAGTTATTGTTATGAAAGTTGCCCAGATACCTATTTTAAAGCAGTGTTCCACAGTTTAATGAATTTTTATCTCTCATATTCATTGTTGCCTGATGAAGGCTTTGGTAAGAGGGCCAAAAGCTCACAGATAAAAGTATTTTAACATAGAAAAAAGTTCATGTTCAATTCTACATATTAATTTACCTATGTTATGAGCCTTAAACCACAAGAAACATTATCAGGTATTTTGTAACCCTTAGTGTAAATAGTTATTATAATGTAGATGCAATATAAAATAGTTTTTAACATGTGCTCTATTTCTAAAATTATGAATAACAACTTCTAACAATATAGCTGCTGTATCTAATGCCAATAAGGTCTTTTGTCCCAAACTAGGGCAGCTGTTCAGTCTGGTTGTGATAGCACATACTTAGTAGGGGTTGAGATGCTAATTACATTATTTATATGTATACTAGTATAAAAGCCCGTCAAAAATAATGGGAAACCATTGTTGAATGATTAATGAAAATTATAGAATTTAACTAAAACAAGTTTATCTGTACCTCCAAAATGCACCTACTCTTCACTTATTTCATCAGTCTCGAAGTAATTCTATAATACCCACATTTTTAGTAAAAGTTATGCAGAAAACGAAATGTTAGCCAGAATAAAAGTATGTGTGCACTCTGAGAGAGACTTAAATAGCACTCTTGAGCCTTTTCACTGTATACGAGGTCAGGAAGTAGAAAATATAGTTTGGACATTCTGACACAAATTTTTGAATCTTTTTGACTGTACAAAGGATAAAAGATATTTGGTAGTAGTAAACGTTTATTTTTCTTTATATTTTAATGCCAAGTAGGTAATATTTGTGTTAAAAGACCAAAAGAATATTTATTACTTAACATTTATTTACTACTTAAAACTTTTTACACACTGACTGATTTTGGCTACAACTGAGTGTCATAAAACTTCTGAATTAAACTATTTTGCTGTTATATCACCAAAGTTATCAAAAATAAGGAATAAAAAAAAAAAGTTTCTAACAAATCAACATGAATATTGAGCATTCAACATAAACACAATAGTTGGCCTAAGGACGATCAGGTGGTAATTTTATTGTTAGGTAACAATATATGTATATTGTTGAGCATTACCAGAAAAAGGAGCATGAGAGCATTCTCAACAGAATGACAAAGGGAATAAGCCTTTTATGGTTAGCGATTAAATATTCATGGTTTAGAAATATAGATTGACAAATATACTTTTCATTACAGTCTTTGTTCTTCACTTTCCTCTATTTTTGCTTGCATTTAGTTTTTAATATGTTTGAGAAAAACCTGAAAGTTGATCAGTCTCAAACATGGATTTATCTCTTTGTGCAATTTATTTATTCTGTGCTATTCAATGTTTTCTTAAATTTTCACTGCCCATTTACTTATTGTTAGTTGTTTATTTTAAACAAATATGTGGAATGCTGACATTTTGCTTTTTTATGTTCTACATTCATTTTTCATCTGTTTCTTCCCTTCTTTTCATCACAATTATCCTTCTACAGGCACAACCAATCCCACCAGAGCTTGTATCAAAGTTGCTGGGAAATCGTGTTGGTGTCAGCCCTATTGTTACTGTAGAACCACGCCGACGAAAGTTTCACAAGCCCATTACCCTTACAATTCCAGTGCCACAAGCTGCAACAAAGGGCATGATCAACCAGTATAGTGGAGATGCCCCAACGCTGAGGTTATTGTGCAGCATAACAGGTAGTAGAATGTCAGGTTTGTCTCTTCTCTGTTCTTGTGGCTTTCTCCTCTTGTTTTTCAATTTCTATTCTTATTTTTATACAATCACAAAGCACACCAAAAACATCATAGGCCAAAATTTATCATTTATTCAGTATTCTTTAGATCAGTCTATTCACTTTACATTTCATGTTTTATTATATAGTTTTACATGCTTCTTCAGATATTCATTATAAATCATGTTAATTTGTTCAAAGAATTTAGGAAGAATCAAACAGTTAAATACATTTTTATGTGTTTTATTTAAGCCAAAAACAAAGATGTCCTGTTTCTAAATTATTTGAATAAATGAATCTTAATAGCCAGTGCACATACTACATGTAACATGTAATACACAAAGTAGTGTAGGTATATAGGAATGCTGAAAAATAAATTTTAACAGCTAGTGTTTTATAAGCATTCCATTTCACATATAGCAAATGAAGCAAAGTCTAGATTAGTATGAATAATATATAGTTGGTATTGTTCAGCTTTTTTTAATGTTAGTTGTTATTAACTGTCTAAAACAGAAAATACACCTTAAATTTTTCCCAGAATTTGACTTTAAGTAATTGCAGGTGTTACGTAAATTTTAAAGCCATTGAAAGATTTTGGCTTTCTTATTTGAAAAAACAAATAAAATGATGAACTGAGAAAATGTATAGTCCATGCTATTGTATTAGTACTCTTAGTTTTGTATTTTTGAACTATGTATTTGAAAAGAGAGATTTATAGATTTATTTTATTGCAATATTATGCTTTAACCTGCATGAAAACCATTTTATAATTCATTGCATTAGATGATTCAGTTGCTTGAACTATTTGATTGTTGTTAAGCACAAAGCTACTCATGGAGCTATCCTATGCTGTGCCCACTGTGGGTATTGAAACCAGATTTATAGCATTATAATCCTTTGGACTTTCCAGTAAGCTACTGGGGGCAGGCTGTTTGTAAAAGAAGCTTGTATAAATATATTTATAATATAACACTTCAAGAACAGCAGCTTATTTTTTACAAGTCAAAAGTATAGATAAATGAATATGTATATATATATATATATAATCACAACTTTTCAGATAATGATGCTATAAACAAGGGGGGAAGGTAAAAACTTTTTAGTAAGTAAATGGTGTGTGTTTATATAATTTTAATGATAAGGCAATAGCATACTTTCAGAATCAATTTACTAGCTTTAATAATGGATTCAGACCAAAAATGTCTGGCTGCATGTATAAAGACTAAAATGTTTCTATGCACTTGGAATTAAAAAAAAATAAATTATTGTATAGTTAAATTTATTAACACACTAATATTTACATGTTTGTTTTCATAAGAAAAACATATGCAGATTTACCTCTGAAATATGAAAAGTCTTTATTTGTTGAATTGTCCTCATGCTGTTAACAAAATATGTGATTCTAAAAGTTTGGTATCCTTGACACAAAGCAGAGCATTCATCAACTTACCTATAATTTTCTATTCTTCAGAAGTAATATTGCACATGCAGTTATTTTTGCCATGCCTGTAAGATTCCAAAATATGGAATCATTTTAGTTGGCATAAATACTCATAGTATTTTTTCTAGCATAAGACTTATTTGAGGCTGAATTTAATAAATGCCAGTTTTTGTTTTGTTTTTTACGTTTTGCACAGTATGTATGTTTGCGGTATCATTCTAAGTGGTATTTTAGTGACTAAATGTTTTTCCCATCTCTTAGAAATACACAGAAGCTGTATGTGCTCATTATATATATATGCCATGGGTGGTATGTACAGCTCTTATTTTTATTCATGTGAAGCATGCACATAATGAGTTGGAAAATTTTGTTGGTAAAGTATTTGTTTTGTTTTAAATAATATACACCCACATAGCTTTATTCTTGCAAGAAATAATTTTCACTTCATGATAAAATGTATGTTATGTGTATTGGAGAAAAGTTCCTTGAAAATTTATTGTTCAGTTTGTATTGTGACTACAATGATTTTGTAAGCTTATAGATTTTCGTTTTCCTTAATTTTAGGCAGTCTGCTTCCATGTTGCTTATGTGTTATTGTTCAAGTGGGATCTCGTATATTAAACTTTTAATTGTGCACAAACAGGAGAGAAAAGAAGTTTATGAGTAATACAGAGAAAATTTAAAATCCAGAATATTACACATGCAATTATTATGGTATACAAATTAGATTACAAAATATGGAATAATTTTAGGTAACATAAAATAATTATAGTATTTTTCTCATAAAATAATTATTTGGGGCTGAATCTAACAAATGTCAGTTAAGAAGCATCTATTTAACCCAGTCATGATTTGTTTTTTTTATCTTGCTTAATTAAACACAAGGACACCAGCAACCAATTAGGATACTGTTTTATTGTATACATTGTGATGAGACAGCATTAAAACTTGTAATCTTTACTTGTAGCCTATAAAAGACAGTGGTAGATGAAATACTATTATACACATTTCATTCTGGGAACAGGTATTAAGCCAGTTATATGTAGAGTACCAGCCTTGTTATAGTGTAAGGGATCATGTTTCACCAGAATTAACATTACATAGCATATACTAATTGCCAGCTTTTAAATTATGGCTATATAAATGACACTTATTTTATAAATGTTTTATGAACAGTGACAACTAAGTTTTGATTATAACAGTGACTAGTGAGTTTAAAGAATTATCTATTCATAAAATTAATTTTTTAAATTTTCTTGTGTGTTAGATAATTTTAGAAAGATTGCTTTATGTAGGTACTTCACTGAGAATAGATTATAATATTTCTAGTCTTTTTATGTCACATGTTTTAAAATAGCACCCATTTCTTAATACATAATTAGTAATTTTACTGATACCTCAACAGGTGTTTCTTATAAGTACTCATTAAACCATACTAGAAGACAAGACATTTGCAATTTCTTCTCCTTTCCCATGCAGTAGGAATGAGTTTCTCATTTTTTAGGTGACTTGAACACGTGGACCGAACAAGACCGGTGGAGTTGGTCGATTGAAAAAGTCCGTAATTGGCTCTCATCTATGTATGAGCATACATTTGATTTAGGTATAGCATATTGCACATTAAAGGCCTTCATCTTTTACTTCAATTTTACTTCTTTAACTCTGATCACACTACGATAGTATTCTTAGTTCACCAGAATTTCTAGAGAATGTTCATATTTCAAGGGTGTTAAACTTTGCTTATGTCTCATAACACAGAATGTTATTTATGGATTTTGTTACGTATTTTGCACCAGATTTAAGAATGGTGTCATGAAAAAGTGATCTCTTGCTAATTTTCTTGAGTTCAGAAATCATTTTATAAGTTACTCTTAGTAATTAATGTAATATATAGTTTTTTTAGAGATAAAAAAAATGTTTGAAATACTAACAACTAATAGTACTGTTATTCATTGTTACTTAGAATTTAACTTTTAGACTTCACAAATATGACAAACATATTCATACTATAATAATTATCCTAAATTTTCTAATTTATAAATTCAGAAGCACAAAAGAAAAAATTGACCAGTTATTTATTTATTTACTTCTTTTTACAGTCTGGTAGGTGTAGGGGAGCAACAAGAATTTATTCTTTATTTTTATGATAATAGCTGAAGATGGTATGGTAAAAATACATATACAGAGGTTGAGTATGGAGTATATTATAGTAAACAAATTTGGAGCCTTACAATGTCATTCTAGCCTATATTGCCATTTCTGGTCATGCTCTACCTGATGACTGTTCATCTTGAAAATAGCCTTGTACTGTAGTTTCCATTGCAAAAGGTTGGCCAGATGGTTAAGGTACTTGCAATCTAAGGGTCATGGGCTTAAATCCCCATCACTGAAGATGCTCGCACTTTTAGCCATGGGGGGGGGGGGGATTATAATGTTACGTTCAATCCCACTGTTTGTTGGTAAAATGTAGCCCAAGAGTTGGCAGTGGGTGATGTTGACTAGTTGCCTTCCATCTAGTTTATCACTCTTAAATTCGGGATGGATTGTGCAGCTAGTCCTTGTGTAGCTTTACACAAATTTCAAACAAAACAAACAAAGTCATTGCAAAAGGCTTTGTTGTAAGGCTTTTATTTTTCAAAACATATCACTCCTACCTAGAATGGTTTCTTACCACCCGTTTGAACAATTCAGTCACACGGAAATCTATAGATGTTGTATCTGGTGACTTGACCATTATGTCTTTATATGAAATAGCATGAATGCCCATTCTCCAGCTGCTTGAGGTATGTGATAGTTCAATGAATATATTATGGAAGCAACTTGCTCACACTTGACTGTTGTTACTTTCCCAGACAGAGATCCGTCTTAATTATGTTGTATACTGTTGTCACGAGCCATTATGTTTGTGAGTTCTCACTTGTTGTAGGTTTTTTTCTGGATTGTTCTCAGATCTCAAGTTGATTAAAGTTCCTTTGTTTTTCAATGTCATTAACCCTATTATGACCAGTGAGCAGGTTTTGTGGTGTTGAGTGCACTCCTGAATATCAAATTTCAACATTTTAAGTAAAAATAGTAGTTCTAACTCTATTTGAATATTTTGTTTACTCAAAACTATTTTAGAATTGATATTTTGTAACTTTGCAAACTTTATTTAGTGCAAATAAAATTAAAAAAAAAGTGTTTGATCCTTGATCTTTGTGCAGTTCCAAGGTGTATTGCCCATAAACAATGCACTTACAATTTTTTTCTATTTTATTCATCATTGCAAAGTATAGGTTTATATTTGCTCAGACACTCTCATCTCTTGGAAATAAGCTTATCCATGTTTTGTTTCTCAAGTGACTTTCCTTTTCTGTCTGTGATTTTATTTCTACAACTGTATGTGATCAGCCTTTTATAATGTTGCCTTTTATAATCAGAGCAAGTAAGTTGGACAGTAATTTATAAATCTTAGCTTGGAAAACAGATAGGCCTTATGGTTAAAAGTAATTGATAGGATAGACTATTAATTACACAGTTGAGTATGAAAATTTAAGTAA